AAAGAAAGTATAAACCAAGTTTATATTTAGGGGGAGGAGGAAGACAAAAAGTGGATCTATAAATTTTCAATTGACAAAAAACCCTCCAAAAATCCACTACTGACTCTCTTTTTTCCAGCATGTACAAACAAATGAAATAGAAAGTCAAAAAGCAGAACTTTTTTTTAACAATTATCATATGCTGTTAGGATTAACAAGAACTTTATGTGCTAGCATCATGAAGAGAGTAGTAATATAGCTATATGTAACACTGTACACACAAATACAAAGAAAAAACATGGGATTTCAGAGTTGTAAATCACAGGTGTTTGGGGCTAGGGGCTGGTTTGTTTTTTTGGTTCCTGGATGACCATCTAACAGGAAAGTAGAGATTTCAAGATGCAAAGAAATTACTACAGCAATGTGAAGCACAAGCAAACTGAAGAAAAATAAGTGTTACCCACTTGATATGGGGAGGAAAGGAGGGGGCAGAAAGTCTCACCACATATACATAAAATCTAAAAGTGCTTAAAGAAAACTTGACCGTCTTGCTTCCACAAAAGTAAAGCTGTCATACTCCCCATCCATTTAGCAGCCCGGAACCCAAATATGTGCAACTCTAAAAGAATTTTACATTCTACAAATGATTTTTATCTCCCTGAAGTAGTTAGTGTGATTACCTTATCCTTCAGCAAAATTTCATAAGTCGTTAAAAGTATATTAAATTTTAATCGCTTGGTCTGTGGATGCATCCATTCATGAGTTCTTATCTACAAGAAGAATCAAGTGAACTATAAGCTAGAGCAAAATGGTCGTATTGATCAATATAGATGTTAAGTGACATACAAGAATCTGATCATGAAAAAGGAACATAACGCATGAAGCTTTTTTTCTTAAAGTTATTAAACAGTAGTGGTGGGGTGTTTGTTGGTCTTTGGTTGGGGTTTTTTTTGTGGATTTCTTTGTGTGCGTGTTTTGGCTTTTTTTGTGATTGGATGTTTTTTGCTTGATTTTTTTTTCTAAACTTTAATGGATAAGGTTATTTATATTCCTCCTTTCAGGAAACAAATTAAGATTATGCCTGTCTGGCTTAAATATTTATTTTATGCATCTAAATAATGGCATGACAAAAGACAATTTGTTTTCAAATACATGATTGCATTTTTAATCCTTT